ATCACAAATGCAGACATGGTTTTATGTTTACGCGTTGCAACGCAACGTGTAAAAAGACAGTATAAGTCATTATAATCCGTAATTATGTCCCCACTGGATGCAACAAATGCCTCGTTTATAATGGGTTTTAATGTTTTTGAATCGTCACTCCGGCCGGACAGCGCATCACAATATGGTAAGGGGCGTAACATTTCCATCACACACCTGAGGTATTCGGCCAATCACAATGCACTGGATAGCTGGCCAATCAGAGCACACCTCGCTTTTCAGACCAATGAGCTTTGTAAAAATCGACGCGTTTCAGAAAGGCGGGGCATAGAGGAGAAACAATAATGTACAGTATGTGGAAAATAATGTTTTTTTTAACCTTAAACCGCATAAACACATTTCATTACACCAAATACACAAAATAATGTTCTTTTTAGCAACATCATATGATCCCTTTAGAGCTGCATGTAAGAGTGGAGGGTCATGAAGGATTTGAAGTTGCCGTGGCTCATGATGAAACCAGCCATGTTTTTCACTTTATTCTCAGATTGAGCAGATGGACCGCAGTGGTCTTCAGCGCAGGGGTCATCGCTTGCTCCAGGACCTGGAGAAAATGTAGACACATTTAATAAAGCAAAGTCATTCGGATCTGTTGCAACAAGAGAAAATGACAATATAAATGTACCACCAAATTCAGCATCCCAGTTTCTGTTGAGGTCAACACCATGGCATTTGGGGTTAGAGGTCGCAGAACGACTATTACGCCAGAAACGTTAAAGCGGCTGAGGTAATGTGAATTAGTAATGTTAATTTACAATACATGCAATTATAAAAGCTTATAAAAATGCTTCTAAACATTTATTTGTGCTTTACGGAAACCAGTGAATGGCTGCTTACACTGAGAGAGCGCTGAGTGGAGACATATCCATCAGGATTGGCCACAATCATCAAGTAAATATCCATTTGACTAAGGATACTGGGCACAGGGGCACGGTTTTCCTTAAAGTCTGTGGCAATCTATAGAGCCAAAAACTTCATTTCAGAAGCATGGCTTTATGTTGTGTGAGCTTTTATTCTTTCAGATTTGGCTGAATCTGTAATTTTCTTTAGACTATTTTAGCAACTTGTTAGTTTGTACTTGTTTTGTCAGCACATTGGGCCAATGTTCAAACACTAAACAGTCATGTTTTGTTTATGTTGAAGTCAAGATAAGACATATGAATGCTACTATAAACTAGTTTCAGAGTTCATTGCTGCTGCCCTTTGCATAAAATAAAATACATATTAAAAAATTAAAATAATAATAAAATAAAACAAATTATGAAATCACATTAAATAAATAGATATAATAAAATAAAAGATCTTGCTAAAAAAGATAATCATTTATTTAAATAAATAAAAAATCTTGCTACTGCACATACAAGTAAAAAGTAAATAAATAAAATCTTGCTAAAAATAATAAATGTTGCTCATGTGCAATGGCAAGTGAACTACAAACGCTAAATGTGCTGGTAGATTTCATCTTTCCCATCAGAAAAGAAAAATATAGTCTTACATTCTTATATTTACTGCAACAGTTTAACGAAAGTAGAAAATAGCTCTGATATACTATGACAAACAGACTCAAACAAACACTTATATACACTGTATAATTTTTCAACAATCTCACTCACCCTGTCAGCAAGCCACACTGCAGTAGCGTGAGAAATCCACTCCCTCGCAGGGATTCCAGCATCAATCCAGGTTTTTTTTCTCTCCACCAGTGCTGAACTGGATGCATTTTAAATATACAAAAAATCAGATAGTGGTACATAGATATCAGTCTGTAATCTGAGTTTATAATAATATGATCTGTTTACCTTCAAGACATACATGGGACAGTTCTCATAAGTGCTGCCAATCTTCACTTTAGAGATCAGGTTAGAGTGACTTGCAACAAGGGTGTCCATAAAATTGTAAATCTGAAAGAAGTAATAAAAAAATCTGACGTTTTGTTAAGGTTATAAGAATGGTTGTGCATGGCATTTTGCAAAAGTCAGTACATGTGTACCGTCTCCAGGTCATGATAAGCAGCAAAACTGAAGCTTTTGGTCTTGCGTTCCATTTCTACATTGTGAACCATTTCTTCTCTCTCTCTGACCAAAAGCTCCTGAGACACAGAAAAAGTTGTGTATTACTATTACTTTACTGAAAAATCACAACTATTGGAATTTATAGGATTATAATCAATGGTTGATATTCTTCTACAAATTATGCAAAGGCTAATAATGTTATTTTGTATATAGATTTTTGTATTTAACTCACCTGCACATTGTTGATCATGACAGTGAAAGGGACGTTGTTTTTCTTGAGGAAGTCCTTGACAGCAGACAGACTGGTGTGAGGCACACGGATGTCAACAGGTCATTCATTAGAGATGGCATGGGTCCAGAAATCCAGCTATGGAATCACATAATATATATAAAGTGAGAGATTACCATGTCATATTGCACATACGTGATCAAACGAAAGTTAAAGTATGTCAGCAGGGATTTAACAGATACCCCAGAATCCACGTCCCTTTCCAGCTCCTTCAAAATCTGAATGTGGTCTTCAGATTCTGCATTGATTCTGAGAACTTGGTCTCTATTAAAAAAAGACAATTAGACATTTTGAACATGAAACAAGGCTGGTATGGCAATAAGTCCTAAAAGAAGGTATCTGAACTTACCCATTAAAGAGCTCCGTGAACTGCAGCCAGGAGCGCAAAGACTGCTAGATAGACTCTCATGTTCTCATGTTCTCAGAATGATCTCTGCTGTACGTCTCTTTCATGGAGAGCCGCTCTTACGCACTCACAGACATATGTTGAGTTCTCATTAATAATAGTGCTGATGCAGGTTAATATGACTTTTGTCACCTGATGCAGCCAACTTCTGTATGTGTATCCGTACCAGGTGTGCATTGCTCTCTGTTTCTCAGTGACTCCAACAAGGGAAAAGTTTCAGCTCACATAAAATCTACTTTATAGTCTGTATAATGCAAGATACACAGAGTCTTCAGAGCAGCTCATGTTGAGGCTGGGTGAAAAGGAGAAATTATCTTGGTATCATTAAACTTTTGCTCCAACACCAATTCTTAGTCACTACTTTACAGTCTCTAACTTAAATATATTTAGCATTAGTTAGATTTTAATCAATACTTTAAATGTGCTAACACTTTCAATCAAATGCTACTTGTAAGAACTCATACACAAGTATATGTCTTTAGAAAAAAGTAGGGTATGCCTACTATGAGACAGCATGTGGCTCAACAGGGTTTCCCATTTAAAAAATCACCTTTTATCATAATATTTAGTCTTGGACATTTAATAGGATTAAATATATTTTCTAACAGTTGTTCACAAAATAATTTTATCAGGAAGAAATGACCAAGTGCATTCAGCAAGTCATTTTAGATTCTATTTGAAGTCAGTTCAGAGGTTCAGAAACCTGAAAAAATGGAAAAGTGGGCGGAGCCTTAACTTGGCTGTGACGCATAAAATCACGTGACGCATAAAATCACGTGACGCATAAAATCACGTGACGCATTCATCCTTGTCAGCTGACGCTTGGCGGAACTGTAGTTTCGTCCTGCAGATTTTAGTAATACAGTTATTAAAGTAGTGAATAGTTCAGTTTAGTAGTTCTAAAGTTAGTATTAAATCTTTCTTGTGATAAATCTCTCTTCAGATCGCAATCAGTGCCTTAAAAACATCAGCCATGGCGCTCAGCGATGCCGCCGTTCAGAAACAGGTAAGAAAACCAGAAGTTCATAAACTAAGTTTAGAATTTATTTAATTAACCATTATGTTTCAGATCAGGTAGCCTAAGTATAGAAATATCTGTTATAAGGCTTATTACACGCATACAGTGCACTTTAGAAGTCCCATTACTTTTATAACGAAACATTACAGGCACAAATCTGATGATTTACGTTTAGGATAACTAATTTTATACTGTACATTTAAATGTAATTTATAAACTAATAACTGATAAAAACAACAAAGTGTCATTATTTTGGCATAATTGGAACTGATATTCAGATAATTGTAAACAATTTTTCAAATATGTGAAATTGTCTCATTTCTTTTAAATCACGTTTTAAAAATCTTTTTAAAATCAGCTTTAATCATAGGATTATGTTTTAATAAATCTGAATTTATGTTGTTTATTATATTTGTTATGAATTTATATATTGTTTGCAAGGTGTCCTTGAGTGTTTTGAAAGGCGTATATAAATAAAATGCATTATTATTATTATTTTATTATTATTTATTATCTTCTACTCCTAGCTAGACATCTCTTTATATTCCATTCACTTTGAGGAGTACAAATGCACCTAGATTTTGTATCAATTCATATTCTGTGAGTGTTTAATGCTGTGTATTATGAAGCCAAAAGAGGAAATCTCTTTTCTTTCAGTTGTCCAGCAGCACTGATGCAACACTTTCAGTATAATTTCCCCATCAATTTCTCTCATCCCCTTTTATTTCATTACATCATCTAAATAAAGGATTAGAGGGGCTTGGAAACTCTTACATTGTAATTTAACCTTGTTTTGCTCTTTTATTGACACTGATCTCCTTGCATCTCTCCAGATCAAACACATGATGGCCTTTATTGAACAGGAAGCCAATGAGAAGGCAGAAGAAATTGATGCAAAGGTAAAGTATAAATGCAATGATTAGCATAAGTGCATGAATATGGTCTGAATTTGTCTAGAGCATTTTTAGATCATCATGTGTATTGCGGCTTGCAGGCAGAAGAAGAGTTTAATATAGAAAAGGGACGACTGGTACAGACTCAGAGGTTGAAAATAATGGAGTACTATGAGAAGAAAGAGAAACAGATTGAACAACAGAAGAAAATGTGAGTTTGAGTTCTTTAAATGAGTAACCCGTGTCCTTCTTCAGATTATTTAATAACGTCTCTGTTCAAATCCACAGCCAAATGTCGAATTTGATGAACCAGGCCAGACTGAAGGTACTCAAAGCCCGTGATGACATGGTTAAGGTATGATGATTATGTGATTTTGACATTTCTATAGTCTATACTAGGGATGTAACGATAAACCGCGAGCCGGTCGAAAATCAATTAAAATATGTGACGATTCAAATCGGTTGAGATGCCAAACAAATCGCGATACAATTGGAGTAGGAGTTTATATGAATGTATCTCTGAGGAGAACAGCGAAGCTACGAGAATACTTTTTGTATGCAAAGAAAACAAAAATAATGACTTAATTCAATTATTCATCTCCTCCACGTCACCCTGGTGCTATTTTGGAGAATATCCACTGAACGCAAACAGCGTATGTATGCTATTCTTTGTCAGCTGCGTCACACATTATTCTGAATAATAATAAAGAATGAATAAAGTCGTTATTTTTGTTTTCTTTGCGTACAAAAAGTATTCTCGTAGCTTCGTAAAATGACGGTTGAACCCCTGATGTCACATGGATTATTTTACTGATCTCCTTGCTACGTTTCTGGACCTTGATCGTGGTAGTACCCTTACTGTCTATGGGAGGGTCAGAGAGCTCTCAGAATTCATCCAAAATGGCACCAGGGTGACGCGGAGGAGACAAATTGTTGAATAAAGTCGTTATTTTTGTTTTCTTTGCGTACAAAAAGTATTCTCGTAGCTTCGTAAAATTACAGTTGAACCCTTGATGTCACATGGATTATTTTACTGATCTCCTTGCTACGTTTCTGGACCTTGATCGTGGTAATTACATTGCTGTCTATGGGAGGGTCAGAGAGCTCTCAGAATTCATTAAAACTTAATTTGTGTTCCGAAGATGAACGGAGGTTTTACGGGTTTAGAACGGCATGAGGGTGAGTAATTAATGACAGAATTTTCATTTTTGGGTGAACTAACCCTTGAACAATGCATATTAAAGTAGTGTTTATAAGCGCAGCTCTGCTTTGTTTACAGCGATAACCCAGGAAACACTGTATCATTGCTGTTCATAAGCGCCACCTGCTGTCAGAGAGTGAATCTGCATCTCATTCAGCTCGTCTGCTGTTTCGTTCAGATATGTTTTATGTAGTATAGTTTTACAAAACTAAAGTCAGACCATTCTGTTTTTGCTTCAAATTTCGAAATTATACAGTCTAATTTAGATTAAAAACTACTCATGCTGCATGTATGCTTCATCTTTGGATCATGATTCAAATCCAGTGGTTGCTTCTAATTTTAAATGAAAAGAGCTCAGACAAAGCCTTAGTTTGTTCATATTGAGATTTCTTTTATTTGTGTAGCTAGCTTACTTGTTTGATTTTGGATTTGTTTTCAAATTTCAATTTAGTTTTGTTATATTTCAATTTCACAAAGAAACGTGCAGCAATAGCCTAATTAAACGACACCTTTTCATTTACTGTATAATGTCTTCAATCTCATTTTGTAAAAAAATCATGAGAAAATCGAATCGTGAAATCAAAATCGTGAATCGAATCATGAGTTGAGTGAATCGTTACATCCCTAGTCTATACTTTTATAGAATTGCAAGAAATCTCACCTTCATCTTCCTCATGTGATTCTTTGCAGGATCTCCTTAATGAAGCACGACAACGGCTGGCCGACATTGCCAAAAACCCAAATGAGTACTCAACACTGCTGGAAGGATTGGTGTTACAGGTCAGCTGATTTCTATTTTAATTAAATGCTGTTCTTTTAAACTTTTTATTCATCAAAGAATCCTGAAAAAATGATCACAGGTTCCAAAAAATATTAAGCAGCACAACTTTTGCAAACATTGATAATAAATCAGCATATTAGAATGATTTCTGAAGGATTATGTGACACTGAAGACTGGCGTAATGACTGATGAAAAATCAGCTTTGCCACCACAGAAATAAATTATATTTTAAAGTATATTAAAATAGAAAACATCAATATACAAGCAGTTTCCCAATATTACAGTTTTTTTTATTTATTTATTATTTTTATAATTAATAACTATTTTATTACTGTTTCTTTTTGCCTCGGCAGGGATTTTATCAGCTGCTGGAGCCCAAGGTTATAATTCGGTGCAGGAAGGAAGATGTAGTGATGGTGCAGGTGAGCTCTATTCACCATCAACGTACGTATCAACTATACAAACCCTTTACATTTTTAAAGAGGTTGATATACCTGTTCATTATAGGCTGCTGTTAAGAAAAACATCCCCATCTACAAAGAGACAGTAAAGCGTAATATTGAAGTGCGCATCGATGAGAATAGCTTCCTGTCCCCTGACATGTAAGATCACTTATACACTCAGTTTTGTTAGAAAAGGCTCATTTATACATAATTAGATATGTTAATTTTTCATGCTTGGCGTCCTCAGCTCAGGAGGTGTTGAAGCCTATAACGCTGATGGCAAAATCAAAGTGTCCAACACACTGGAGAGCAGACTGGACCTTCTATCGCAACAGGTAGAGAATCCAATCACATTGTAGAACAGGAGGAAACAGGATAAAAGCTGTTTTTTGGGGGGGATATTTGTTGTATTCAGGTCCTCATATTCTTTGCTTTTTTGCTTTCATAGATGATGCCTGAGATCAGAGTGCAGCTGTTTGGTGCTAACCAAAACCGCAAGTTTATGGACTAATGGTCCGTTACTAAATATGCTTCAGTGGTAGTTGGGAGAACGGTGAAATTCAAAAGCCCTGATAAAGTGATGACAGGGTTTGATGGGAAGGTTTTTTTATTTTTTAAGGTCACTTTGTGGATTTTCTAAAATTTCTGTTACGATTCATTTTATCATGTTTCAGGAATTAATTGCTCTCTTGGGCGTTTTTGCTGTTTCTCTTGAAAAAACATGCCAAAGAACGTAGTTTGAAATGAAAGGCTTATCATGTGTGCTTATGTTACCTTATACCTCTCCTTTGAGTGTTTTAGTGCTTTGTTTGAAAATCATGTCATCTGTAGGGAAAGTGGACACCTGAAATCTTATCTCAGCCTGTCTGAACAAAGAGCTTTAAGCACTCAGGAATTTATATTGTTATTGCCTTAAATGTTGTTAGCTAAGCTAGCAGCTTAACCCTCATTCGATGTCCCATGGATGCCTCTGTGCTTGTCTATGTGTTTTCATTTGTAGTACAACTGCATTATACTACAGTGAAATAAATCAAATAATTTTTATTTATATTTTAAAGCATTTCTGTGCTCATTACAATATAAACAAAACATTGCTTGGTTGGTTACATCACATCAGAAATCTGACAGAGGCTTAAAGATGCTACATATACCTCAAACATTAAAAACATGCTGCCCTCTTGTGGAATTCAAATATACGAGATGCAAATTAGCATCAGTTGTGGTCCACAAACAATGTTTTGCATAATCAAATGACTCCAGACCATGTTTTCAAAAAACTTTAAAATACAAAAGCTCTTCAGTGAACAGATTTAATAAGCAGAGCTCAGTCTTATATCAGATATCAGTCTTGAATATTTAAATGTACAGATTGCTTGTTGCTTATTACAATTATTTAGTATAATATATGAATATGAAGCCTCTGAGATATTATTTCTCAATAATCAAGTCTTGTCTTCCAGGAATATGCCACTATATACTTTTTTAAAAAATCGAATTCTTGGTATTATTAAAACTGTATTTTAAACAGAAATATCTTTTATTTTTCTGCCATTTTTTCTTTTTAAAAAAGTACACTAACAATTAGACTCTCAACAAAATCATTTAAAGAAGCATTAAAAAATATTAAGCCAACATTATATAGCCTACAAGGAATTTTGTCCCGTAGAGGAACATATAACAGGAGGACAAGGCATCCGCTGCGAAGTCCAGCAGTCTCTTCACATGTAGAGACTGAGATTTACTGAGAGAAGAGAATTAAAGCAGCAGCCAGATTAGGTCAGCAGACACTAAACCCAGTTTCTGCTTACTTTTTGCTGTTTAAAGGGGTGGTAATCAGCAGTAGAGAGCCAAAACATGAATTTAGAAGATACAGATCCATCTCAACTTTGATTCAAGTCTGCTTTCTATGGAAGCCCGTTTCTGCCACAGCATAAAAAAATTTAAAAGGTAACTGCAACTTTTTATCTCACAGTTCAGACTTTTTTTCTTGCAATTCTAAGATATAAACTCAGAATTGTGAGATAAAGAAGCCTGTTTAATTTTTTCATTTGGTGGTGGAGAAAAAAAAATGTAAACTCCGAATTCAGAGAAAAAAATCCCAATTGTTCTTGGGAAAAAAAAGTCAGAATTGTGAGATATAAACTCAGAATTGTGAAACGTACACTCAGAAATGTGGGATGTAAACATTAAATTGTGAGGAAAAACAGTCACTATTACCTTTTTTATTTTTCCATTTGGTGGCGGACACAAAAAACACTTGTGAGATGTAAACTCAGAATTCAGAGTAAAAAGTCAGAATTGCGAGATATAAACTCAGAATTGTGAGATAAACACACAATTACCTTTTTTATTTTTTCATTTGGTGGCAGGAACAAAATAAAAGTAAATTGTGAGATGTAAACTCAGATTTCTGAGCACAAATTAGATTTTTTCTTAGAATTGCGAGGAAAAAAGTCTGAATTGTAAAATAAAAACTCGCAATTATCATAATTTTTTATTCCTTGGTGAAAATGGGCTTCCATACCTTTCTGTAATTTAAATACACATCGACCCTGTTCACAACCGATAAATCAATAATCACGAATCATGTTGGTTTAAAACTGATTGTAACTATGGGCTTTAAAGACATAAAAACAATATTAATTGGACAAAAAACTGTGGACAAAAAAACCCTGCCAGATTAGTCAGAACAGGACCCTGTCTTACCTAAAGAACCCTGTTTGTAGTTTTTAGGTACTTAAACACAGTTAGTGTGCAATATAGGCTTTTATGTTAGCGTTACACAAGCCTCCGCTGTTTTCACAAAGTGTCTGAACCTCCTTTGGTTGGGTATGTGAATTTCTCTCCATATTTACCTCATCGCAAATAAAAAACCTTCTTTTTTTCATCACCACATCTTCCTTCATCGCTCATCTTCATCCCTTGGCCTACGTAGAAACAGTACTTTGTGTATGATGACTGAGGTAACATCACCTGCCGCTATCCCAGCAGCCCCAGCACGTGCTCGCCGATGCCCAGGAAATACACACCCTGAGCGATGCCGAAGAGTGGAGCGATGACTAAAGCTCGACACGTTGCTCCTTTAAGAAACGCGGCTGGTCCTTCTCGTTTTAAAATGCGTCTGTGGATAAAAAAGGAGTGACTGCCATATAAACACTAAGATACATGAATATGGTCATTTTTATATTATCATATAACACACAGTAAAAGTCAATACATGCAAATATAAAGCTTACTGTGCACAGTCAATGATGCCTCTATAGGAGTCCTCTCCTTCTCCCTTCTGCAAGGTCTGTAGGCGAGTCTTTATAACTGAAAATGACAAATATTAATAGATACATTAATTTATATTTGTTTTAGCATAAGGTGTAGATTCAGCCTGTCTTGGTTCTAATTTTAACTTCTCAGATCTGGTTTCCCAAATGCAGGTTATAACAGAGTTAAGTTCAGCAGTTAGTCTGACTCATTTCCATGATTTGGTTCTTTCAAACAGCTCATTTTTAAAGACCTTAAAAACCTTTGGACTTGGACTTTCTTTCTTCTGCTGAACACAAGTTGACGGCAGCCATTGACTTCTATATTAATGAAGAAAAAAAATGCTATGGAAGTCAATGGCTACCACCAACTGTTGAAAATATCTTCCTTTGTGTTCAACAGAAGAAAGAAAATTTTAGAACAACTTGAGGGGGATTAAATTATGACAGAAATGTCATTTTTGGGTGACCTATCCCTTTAAGACATCACGTTGTCATATGTTCCCTCACATACTACATTCTCTAAAACAATATACTATTTATTTAATTTTAAGGTATTATTTTCAGTGCTAATTGTTTAAATATGCATTTTTTTTATATGAAAAAAGAAAATCATTCTTTGAAACATTACATTAAAGCCACATGTAGCTAATCTCATTTCAGTTTTATTAAGAAAGGTATTTATTATAATTTCATGTGTCGCAATTCAGTTTGTTGCAGCTTGATCCACTTCATAACATTAAAAATCTAAATATAAGTCTAAATCTAAATATAAGTCTACATTGAACAATACTAATCAATTCATATATACTCATTTTACACTTAAATAATTAAACAATATTTTAATGAAAATGCTAATACAATGCTATTTGCTCAAACCAAATCTATTTGTTGACCTGACAACCGCTATGAACAATTCAGTCAGTCAGATTTTTGTAAACCAGTCCAACTGATTAATTTAAAAGTTCTGATTCCAAAAAAATTATTTGTTCAAAAATCAACATTGCTACTGTACTCATAGCCCAACCCAGAAGGCCATGGGTTCCCTTGGGAAATTCTTATGTGTTTGTAGCGGTTGTTGATTTAAGATTACAATAAGGTCTTTAAGATATTACCTCAGATTTCTAATTTTGAAGCAGCTTGTTTTTTTAAATGTTAGTTAAACATTAGTTAGATATTTCTGAATGAGGACTTCAGCACATAAACTTTAATTAGAGTCTGTGTCCATGCTGTAACATACCGTATGCTCCCCTTTACAAGTTACTCAGGATTAAGTGAGTGATGAAAACTGGGTGATATGTTTTCTGTGAGTCTATTTGTGAGCCTCTAAACAATGTAATATTGCAGACAGTACTGCCAAATCTTCAAATAGAGACACTGAAGCAGCTGCCAGTGTTTCCACTGTCCAAATAATCCTTCTGTACCCTTCACTGATGTTTTAGGCAACAAAGAATTGTCTGTCGGACAATACAATAAATGTAGAGATGAGCTATAAACAAAACACTTTCTGAATAGAACTTGAAAGCAAACTTTGCGGACTTTGCACGTTCTTCAAAGCAAACGAAATGTTTCAGTCTACACATCACAGCAGGATTCGACCACAGCACATGGGCTTCACTAATTAATCACTCAGAAACAAAAGACTCATTCTGTGCCTTTATGAAATGCCTGAAATGAAATGAAAAGTGACCTAGTTAGGGAACAGTTTGGTTAAAAATATACCCATAATTCATCACAAAACAAAAAAGCTGATTAGTATTAATTATTTGTGCTCACATTTCTTAAAGATTATTTTAAGTGATTCATTTGATTCTGATCTTCAGTAATAAGTAATTAATCTTCAGTAGAAGTAATCAGTACTTCTTTCAAGAAACGTTCAAAATATTTTGAGTACTTGCACAAATGACTATAGAAGTACAAAAATGAATGTATATGTGTAAGTAAGTTCTTGGGGATACATCTGGGTTTTTGTTTTTTTTTTGCCAACACTGACATATACAAAAATCTGTAATTGCAAATATATTGACAAATATAGCATTCCCTTAAATTATATTAAATTTATCACATCTATTAAATGCAGTGTTGTTGTTGTTGTTAAAAAAAAACTAATAAAAAAAATTTGTTCATAGAAATAAAGCTGAAATGAAATAAATAGTAATATATTAATATAAAATACTAATATACATAACAAATATTAGCTAAGAAATTAAATTTAAAGGGGTCATATGATGCGATTTCAAGTTTTCCTTTCTCTTTGGAGTGTTACAAGCTGATTGTGCATAGATAAGATCCCTGAAGTTGCAAAGACTAAAGTCTCAAAACCAAAGTAATGTGTTTTTTGAACATTAAAGCATGTCAACATATTCTGTTACACCAAATACACAAAATAATGATCTTTAAAAAAGAATCATATGACCCCTTTAACAAATTTTTTTGTTGCCTTGGCAACTAACTGAAATAAAGTATATTTAATCTGAAGTACTAAAAAAATTTAAGCTAAATATAAATATAAAAAATGACAAAAACACATAAATTACTTTAACTTAAAGGGGTCATATGATGCGTTTTCATGTTTTCCTTTAGCTGTTTGTGCATAAAGAAGATCTGTAAAGTCGCAAAGACTAAAGTCTCAAACCCAAAGAGATATTCTTTATAAAAGTTAAGACTCGTTCACGCCTTCCT